AAAGATTTTGGGTTTTATATAGTAAAAATCACATTTCTTGTTTATCAAGCAAAATATTTTCTTTATGCAGTCTTTTGGAGATTGAAACCTTTTAGAAATTTGTTGGGCTGTGTATGAGGCTTCTTGTAATATAATTTTCTCATCTAATGATGTAGTTCTAGCGTAATTCTTGATTAATTAAAAAAGCAAAATCGACCCACTTTTGGGGGTAATACTTTGGCTGAAAGTTTGGAGAAAAAATACACCGTATTAAATCAGGTCAAACTCTAAGCAAATTTCGTTCTCTTCTTTTTATGTCTAATCTTAACCCATATTGAGAAAAACGCGTTCATTTTGTCCGGATAATTTGTATCAGCACTGTATTGAACTGTGATTATCTTCAACACTCAGAAACAAAATCACTTTAAAATAACTGCGTAGCAGCAGCACTGATATTAATTCGTTTTTAATCACCAGCTGCTATTATCAACTCTTTTCGCATCTGTCAAAAGCAGTCAAGTTTTTCAACCTTTTCATTGTATAATTGGATTTGGTTGAAAAAATTTCTCTGCAATTTCGACACTTATTTAAACCTAATTAAATGAAATGGATTAGCTTAGAAAACCTTCTTCCAATATTTTAGTCTTCACTCAAGTTCAATTTACAATTTATTGTAATAAATAAACTTATAAAGTATATCCCTAAATTGGCAACCCTATCATCATCATTTAAAAACCTGATAGAAAAACGCAATTTAGTTTTAAAAAAAACTGACCAACTCACAACAAGCATTCCAGAAATCAAAGACAACGATGAATAACCATCATTTAGACGTGAAACGAAACAATTGAGTCGAATGCGACGCTTCACACAGACTGCGGTTTTTCAGCAGATCTTGAATATCACACATACGAATGAGAATTAGATCAACTTTATATTTGCTTGTTAGGGTCGCAAAGTAAACAGAAAAGAAAGCACTAATTGAAGCCTTAAGAAACGACAGATCTTCAAAACAAGGTTAACCAGGTGAACTGATGCAATAAAGCCCTATGATAACATTTTCGTCGAACATATTCTTGGAAAAAACATGGGATTTAAAGAATATTTCTTAGGTCATTCTACAAAAAACATACCCTGGTATCCCTGTAACGTAGTGTTTCACACCTACTTAGTTATTTATTTCTATTTGCCTTAACTGGAGCAATGAGCTGTTCAATAGATTAAGGTCAATGCTAGAAAATATGAAAGACAAAATGCTATGGTGTATTAGCCCAAGGTGAGCTCTAGTGAGAGCAGTACACAAATAGAGGAAGCCATATTGACTACGAACCCCTCAAAAGAAAAATTGGAAACTTAACTCATTTTTTTAAGTTTACTTCACAATCTCAAGAAAGGGAACCATCACGAAGCGCATCCCTTAGTCGAAGGTCCTTTGACGATCAGCCGTACATGACATCAGTCAAGCAAAATAAAAAACAACTTAAACATTTATATTCTAATCGACAATAGCCAGCAATGGATAATTATATGGTGACATGTGGTCGGTGATGTTACCACTCTCTTTGAAGGGCTGAAGACTGAGAAAAAAGTTTCTCAACAATACCTACCACAAGACGACTTCCACTGTCGCACAGACGCTGAAACAGAGATCACGGCAGTTTCTTGATCAAACAGCAAGAGGGGCAAAACTGAAGAGTGACTCCAGCCAGTGAAAGAAGACAGCAGTGTTAACTCAGAAAACTACTTTTTTATTTCTGTGTGACTCATTTTTGAAAGCTTAGTTCACACTTTCAAGAAGGGGAATCATCACGAAGCGCATCCCTTAGTCGAAGGTCCTATGACGATCAGCCGAACATGACATCAGTCAAGCAAAAAATAAAACAACTAAAACAAAATTATATTCTAATCGACAATAGCCAGCAATGGAAAATTATATGGTGACATGTAGTGGGTAATGTTACCACTCTCCTTTGAAGAGCTGAAGACTGAGAAAAGAGTGTCTCAACAACACCCACCACCATACGACTTCCACTGTCGCACAGACGCTGAAACAGATATCACTGCAGTTTCTTGATCAAACAGCAAAAAGAGGGGCTTCAACTGATGAGTGACTCCAGCCAGTGAAAGAAGACAGCAGTGTTAACTCAGAAAACTATTTCTCTATTTCTGTGTGTTGATGACAAATACTACATTTGCTACACTTCACAAGAAGAGTGGTTCAGTGATCAAAAACAATCAATTGCACTTCAAATTTAAACTTTAACCTCGTATCCATTTAACGTAGTGCTAAACACCTACGTTAGTTAATTATTTATAGCTACCATAATTGAAGCAATGAGCTGTTAAAAATATTAGGATCTACTCAAAATCTTACAAAAGTCAAGAAGCTTAAGTGTACTTGACCGTTGTAAAGAAGAGCATTTCATTTGAGAGAGCAGTACAAACAGAAGGCATACTGACTACGAGCTTTGAAAAGAATAATTGATTAATTAATGATCATTTTTTATGAAAGTTTAGTTTAGACTCTCAAGAACGGGTAACGTGACCCTCAGGAAGTGCATCCTCGAGTCGAGGCTATTTTCAGATTCACAAGACACAAGACAGACGACTTCTACTATCGCACAGACACTGAAACAAAGATCTTGGCAGTATTTTGATTAAACAGCAAAAAAAGAGTTTCAAAACTAAAAATTGGCTGCAGCCAAAGAAAGAATACAACAGTGTCACACCAGGAAACTAACTTTTAGTTTTTGCGAGTTAATAACAACTACTACATTAGCTAGACTACACAAAGTGATTCAGTCATAAAAAAAATAGTTATATAAACTTAAACTCATAAATATTTGTTGCTCAAATTAAAATGATGAAAACTTATATTGAAACCAGACACATGAAATCAATTGTGAAAACCGTCATAATAAATCCAATGCTTAAATTCGAGCTCAAATAGAAAAGAAAACAGAGGAAAAATATTAAAACCCTAGAAAAAGGTAACTGAAAAGCGAAAAAAGCGTAAAATTGCGAAAAGTTAGTTTTATTATCTCCAACCCGTAACTACTAATAGAAAGAGAGACTTACATAATTACTCAGAGAAGAACACTTAAGTCTTAAGACTCATTTACCACGGCGCATTGATAAACTCCGATTCAAATTGGTGCTTTTTTAAATTGAAACCAACAAATGAACCACCATAACTGACAATCCTTTGACTGATCTAAGACGACCCCGGCCCGAAACTCAGTTTAAGCTTTCGAGGGACCGAGAAAGAAGTCTTTGCACACTTCTAACAGCTCTTCCAATGATACATGGCAGTAGCAGAAAAAGCAGCGGGACAGAAGGAGAATTTTTTACGATTGCATTTAGGAGGCGGTGCACTAAGGTTCCACCAAACGTTTCCACCATTGACGAGAGCGTAACTTCTAGCCAGACTAGCAGCATTGTGACATCATCATTATTGTGAACCGAAACTGCAAGAGGTGCAGATGCTGAAACTTGAACAGTTCGAAGTCGATCCCAAGAAGGATACACCAGAAAACTATTTGTTAAGTCTGACAAAGACGGCACAACGAGCTTATCCAACACCCGATTTACCGGCTGTCCCGTCAATCGATGCAGCAGCAGATACGGCAGTCGAAGCGGCACGCTTTTATAAGGAAACGGATCGGAGACAAGAGAGGCTTGATGCTGTAAACGACCATCGCAACGATCAAGCAAAGAGACTGTTCTTAAAAAGAATGCCGAGATGGCTGCGATCTAAACGGAACTTTGGTAGCAGGCGGTTGCTACAAGACCTGCGTAGTAAAGCACGTAAACAAAAGACAATAAGCGAAATGTGTCCAAAGAAGAGTACCCGAAGGACGGCTTCAATGAAATTAGCGAGACAGTCGCACAACAATTGAATAAGGCCCTAAAAATCTGAGAACCACCCAGGGAAAGATGGAAAAACAGCTTAATAAGTACGCAACCACTTGTCAGACTAGAAGAAACCGCTAAATAATTGTTCATCACAGGCGAAAATTAGCAGGAATACTCTACAAAATCTTCAACAGTATCCCCAGAACTACAACAGGAATAATAGACCCTAAAGGAAACAGTCCCGATGTGGAAACCCAACCAACCAATGTGAGTGGACTGGAAAAAATCAACGAAATAGGTCTGGACAAAATCAAGGCAATTGGTCTGGACGTCAACAGGGCAACTGAGCTGGCGGACAACAAAGAAAAGGAAGAAAGTGACAAACGCGATAAGGCGGTGGATTCGGAAACCTACCACAATCAGGTACTAGTGGTGGAGTTTTGTTTTGGGTTTTTGTGAAACCAAAACAAAGTCTGGTCATGCATCCATATCATGCCCTCAAGGAAAAACGTGGCTTCTATGCATACGCATCAGCATTGCGCCCTTCAGGCGCAACTACCAAAGCTCAGTTAATTTTGCTAACAGAAACAAAGCAGTTCTTAGGTCTAACGGTAAAATGCATGATTTGAGCACCAGAAAAGGCGATTCGATCCCCATCTACTTTTTTCTTTTCTTCTGTTTAATTAGTTATATAATATTAGTATAATAAAAATTATGATTATCATTATTAACTACTTTCAAATTAAAAAATTTTGAATCTTCTGTTGCTCGGGATAGACTTTGAGCAGATCAGCTGATCTCGTTATTTACCCTTTTCAAGTCGCTAAATCTATTGCTGTAATTTGTTTATTTTAGTTATTTCCATTTATTTAGACTTGAATGAATATATTCTTCTTCAATAAAACTCTGATATACTTTGGAAAATTGACTGTATCTAAGGCTGATTATTACAACTCTGGCGCCCGATTATACGGTACGTACTTATCGCAAGAATGAAGACTATTTTGACAAGCAACAGTCGATAAACGAGGTATTCGTATTGAAGATTTAATACCAAAAACACAAATAATGCAGCTGAAAATATGTTTTGTCACATTTAAAATCATTAAAGTTTATAAGACTTAAATGCAAATATAAGCCCCCAGAAGTACAAAACAAACGATTACTTTAGAACAAATCGGTCGTGAATCCTCGTCTGAATCGACGACAACGATAACACCCTGCCGGGGTGCCTGCTGTGGTGCAGTCTCTTTGACCAGTTGTGATCGATGCTGTATTGGCACAGCCGTTTGCTGCTGGCGTTGGGGATACTGCAGCAGCTGCTTTGGCGCCGGAGGAGAAGGATCTAACGGAGACAATTCACGACTACTAATGGCGCTCATTGGTGGCATCGGTGAACGTACAAACATCTTGAGGTCGTTCACGTTTACATCTTTGTTTCTTGCACTCAATCCATTAGCTAAACAGAAACCCAATAATCAAAATCTGAAACTTCCAACAATAACGACGTCAAGTACATTGATCGTGTACCAAATTGATATAAAATGTCTACAAATAAATAGACCAGAGGCGGATCTAGGATTTTCTCGAGGGAGCGGGGAGGAGGGGGCGTATTTTCAAAATTTTTTGAATATTCTGAGTTTTTTAGGTCGACCAAAATGATTTTGCGAGCTCTCCTGTATCACAATACAGACCCTAATTTGACCTAATTTCCTGTGCTGCAAGCAATTTAAAATAAAACCAGGCCAAAAAAGCACTCTACCCTTCCAAAATTAGCATATATTGGCGCCTTTAAATTTTAGCGGTCGAAGTAATACCAAAAGGGGACCCTATGGTTCGCGTGGGGTGAAAAGCCCCCCCCCCCCTCCTGTCTAAATCCGCCCTTGAAATTGACAATAAGTAAATAGCGAAAAAAGATTTCACCTTAAAAGACATGTTATGCTTGTGATTGTAAGCCTTGTGTAATTGCAAAAAGTAGCATCAATAACCTGCGAATGCTTTCCTCTTCGAGAAGTCCAAAGGTAGTGATGGTATGCTCCCGTGAAACGTGTCCGGCTCAACTTGTTGAGCACTCACAGCCTGGAGAGAATTGCGGCGGCTTATTTCAGACGCGCCATTGTGACTGAGGGCACTTCGCAAACTGAAAGGAAATCCCACATGAGAGACCTGTGCAGTGTATGTAAAGGGACCAGAAGTTGCCCCGGTGGATGTTGAAACTGCTGTGACTACCGTGTAATTCAACCCGCTGTTGTTTTCTACCGTGTTACTGTGGTCCTTTATCTCAGTGGCTCTTGGCGGATCGTGGATAACCACACAGTCGTCGTCATCGATCGCAGCAGCCATGTTCTTCCAACTGGGGGCTACTGCAGGCCTCGGTGGCAGCAAGCGATTACCTACCGGCTGTCTGAATGGAACTCCTTTCAATACTGGCGGCTCCGCAGCATGTGTTTTTGGCCTGGTTTGTCTCACAGGGAAATTTTGGGTTCTACCTGTTGGTATCCTTGGTAACAGCGCTGCCAAATTGTTCATACCATTCGCTATCACTGGTGAAAATTCCCCTATAGTTGGTTTCTTAGGACTTTCCAAGCTACTGAAGGGAAGCGACGATCTTTCCAAATTTGAACCTATATGGGTTGCCGGCCTTTTTTGAGGCTGATTACACGTGATAGTTATTTTACCTTTCGTGATGTTCTGACAATCTGTTAGATTGTATTCCACAGATCCTTCAGGAATGTCGTGAAGTTTAATTAACATATCCATTTTTGTTCTCTAAAATCTCGTTTTTTTATCAGAAACGTTCTGCATCACAATTGAAAACTACTTCTGACCAAAACTACGTCATCAGCAAAAAAAAGATAAAAATTAAAATTGATACAAATTCTAGATTTCTGGAAACTATAGACACAAAGCTTTGAATGAATTAAATCAACTAATGCAGTTGCAATTGTTTAATAATGTGATTTTAGCATATATTTTTGCTAACATAATTAAATAAAACTAAATTATATTGCACAATGAAACGTTCATTCCTCAAGACTAACAATTCAAAACTTTTTGAAACAATTGAAATTAAAATTTCAGGAATGTTTGACGAATAAACAAAAGAAGAATGTATCGAAATTGAGAGAGGACCGAAAGAAAGCGATATACAAATATATATGTATAAACGAACAGAAACAGAAGGGATCATATTATTTAGTGAAAACTTATACTTCAATAAAACACTATTTGCCTGTTACTGAGAAGTTTGATTATCTGTTATTCGAGTTAGCCATGAGCGGAGTTAAGAAATGAGGTACTGCAAATCTCTCCACTTGATTGGCCACTGAGTTGTTCACTTGCGAGTTGATTCCTAGTCCGACATTGGTGGCAGCCTGCAGCGCAAATACTTCGTTCGGCGGTGGCAACAAAGTCAGTCGGTTGTTGGCCGCAGACACGAAATGTGACGGAGTCAGTCTCGGCTCAATTGGGGCTCTCGTTCCACCCGCCGCCATCAAAGCCGGGTTCGGACTTATCACGGGGGCCCGAGCAGGCGAATTCTTCTGGGAGGCGCACTGCTGTTGTTGTTGTTGATTTCTACTATTCTGTGAATCAAGTTGCTGATGCTGCTGCTGAGTAGCATTACTGTTGTTCGCCACAGTCGAGCTAGTGCATGATGCTAAGTTGGTCGTGGTTGCCGGCTGTTGTGCAGCTATTCGACTGCCGCCCATGTGCACTTCTCCTAAGTGTCGATCTAGGTGGTACCTGCGTTTGAATCTCTTGTTGCACAACTGACACTCATGCGGCCGCATTCCCGAGTGCAGTATCATATGCTGCGAGACTCGTGCCATAAGATCCGAGGTGAAATTGCACTCGGGACACGAGTACTTTTTCTTGTTCTTCGAATTGGCGCTGTTCGGGTTGTATATGGGCTGGAGGGAGCTCAAGTTCTCGTTCGATTGGAACAGGTGATTGGAAACAGTGTTCACCACTTGTGATATAGGCGACTTGTTCCTCGGCACCCCTGCAGCCGAGTTGTTGTGGTTGCTTCTGTCATTGGACGAGGAGTTACGTGGTGCGTGTGGAATATGGGCTACTGCGTGTGCACAAAGTTGTCGGGCACTTGAGAAAACCTCCATGCACTGTTTGCATTGGTACGTAGATGTGCCAAATTCAGCTGCTATCGAGTTGCATTTAATCGATTCACTAGAACAGATCACGTCAAAATTACCAACCATTAATAATTTAAAAAATAACAATCTAAAAGCACGAATAGGTAGCTGACTCTGCACCCACCAAAAGCAATTTCAGAGAGGAAGCAAGTTCAGATAGAAGGATATTCATATGAAAATATATTAGGAATCCGAAATAGTCAAATCGAATTTGCAATCGAATTTCTCAACCAAAACCAAATTAACGAAAAACGCACGTTCGGTGCTTCGAACAGAATGATTAACGTAGAAACTGTGTATAAAAAATATGAAAACCCAACGAAGTGAGTGCAACCGTAACAAAAGTTTATCATCCAACCGTTTCACTTTTTCTGGCCCCAAGTGTTTAGTCCAACGTATTTTATTTCGAAACATCAGACCCCTTTTTCTTAGCTTAATCAATAATTTGAATTGATATAAAACATCAATTTCAAAAAGTTACAAATCTCGAGAAAAAATTCAAGGATGGATGCCATATATAGGAGGGAGTAGTATGCATATAGTGCACTATGATCGGGGGGTTGTCATACATGGATAACCATTACGTATAGATCATAATTGTCACTATGTATAATATGACAACCAATGGTCACCATGCAAAAATCGTAATTGTCACCATAAGTTATTTTATACCTAATAGTCCCCATGTAATAATACTAGCTGTCAACATGTATTAAGTCTCCATGTAACCTGCAATAGTTTTTATTTGCAATGGTCACCAAGTAAATTATGAATTTAACTAACAAATCATAGTGTAACAAATTTACAGTTGTCACTACAGTTAGGCTTAATATGAGTTGCGCTATCTGCACTCTTTCAACCTTTTGTTCCTTCCTGACAGACATATGGACAACATAATTAATTGGTACGCAATAATCTATAAATTGAAAAATATATGGTATTAAACCATATCAAGTAAAAACTAATTAAAGAAAGCATTTGAGTCAAGAAAAGTTTCAGTATCATTAGCGTATACTGAATCCGGAGCATCACCATTAGAGTTTGTACTAAAAACCAAATGTGCAATATTAATACAAATAGAACCACACATGGTGGAGTTAGAGTTTTGCATTGGAACTTGTGTCATCAGTTCTATGACTTGATTGAAATTCTCGGTTATCCTTTGATAGATGTTGTTGTATTTAAAGAGAGAAAGAGAGACCGAGAGGATCGATAAAGTAATTAAAAAACTTCGGAGACATATCAGAGTCTTGTGTATGTTCGAGTATTGTTGACATTAATTGTTTATAAAGGGTTTTGTAGAATAAGAGTTTTGTTGACCTGAAGCTAATTTTGAAAAGTTTTTAAAAAAGGACGAATTTGTTAAGTTTCGGAGAAATGACCTCTCACTTTATAGAGAAGTCATTTCCCACTTTTTGGTTCAAAATAAGAATATGATTGGATATCGCACGATGTCACGCGATATCGCGCGATGTCATATCACGAGATCAGATCTCAACAGGCGGTTAACTTTCCATACAGATAGAAGTTGATTTACTACTCTTTTATCGCTCTCTAATTTAACTGTTGATTATACCCAGTTTTGCTGCCAACCTGTGTAAGGTTATGAGCCAAGCTGCTAAAATAAATGTCAGAAGTCAAGATTGATTGACTTAACGAAAAAATACTGAGAGATCAAGCTGTAGTGTTGACACAGTTAAAGTCACAAAAAAAGACAAACGAGGAAAAAGTCAAAAAGAAGATAGTGAACTGGCAGACAGACAACAGAGCAATACAAAGAGTCAGTGAGACAGGGCATTGAAACAATTCAGTAATCAGTGAAGTCTGGAGTCACACGGAAAGCTGAAAGAAGCACACGAAAAAAAGATACACACAGAAAGAAAGAGAGAGAGAGACAGAGAGAGAGAGAGAGAGAGAAAGAGAGAAAGAAAAAAAAAACAGTGATAGATAGAAACTGACAAACTGTTCATTTTGATAAACTCATTTGATGTGGTGTTTTATAAATTTGTAGATACTTGTTGTTGCTTGGGGGGATCGTAATCCGTCGTTGCGAGATCTGAACTCCAATCAGATTTAAAAAATAGAAGTTCCACAAAAAAAAACACTCCAAAATTTCTATTGTGCTAATATATATTGATATGTATGAAGTCTGTGAAGTAACCTTAGCTTTGCTACATAGCTGATGTGTTATTCAGTACGCTTACGGTTAGGTTTTGGATCAGACTTAGGTAATGAGATATATGATTACTTATATTATGCGCTGCGTTATGTTTGCTGATATAATATAGTCTGAATTTTTGGTCATTGAAAAGTACGTGGAACATAAGATATATTTGTTCAGAGCAATACGGCTTAGGTGAAAAATGTCTAAGTCAGAGAGAATAGTGTTTTCAGGAAAAGAAGAAGACTTTTTGTATTTTGCAGAGCAATTTGAGGCTAGAATTTTTCATCTTAAATTGAATAAAGTTATCAATAGAGAAGTAGATGAGAAAGATTTTGCACCCAGTGTTAGGAATAATGCTACTGTAAAACAGAGAGCGGCATCTTTAAGAAAAGGGAGGGAAATTTTAGGTGAAAAAGAATTGCATGTTTGGTATGAGTTGGTGCAATGTTTAGACAAAAAATCTGTTTTGTTTTAAGACCTTATGAAGGCAAGGGAAGTAAGGCTTGGGAAATTTTGTGCAAAAGGTTCAAAAGCGCCGAGAGACCTAGACTGCAGCAATTGATTTCAGATTTAACTTCGATAAGAATGAAAGCTAATGAGAGTGTAATCGATTATATCACTAGAGCTGAAGAGTTGCAGTATAATTTAGATGAAGTAGACGAGGGTTTAAGTGAAAAGATGTTTGTGTCAATCATTCTTAAAGGCCTACCAAAAGAGTTCAATACGTTTAGTACCTTGGTTATGTTTAGCAAAGATGATAAAAGCTTGAACGAAATCAAGAAAGATTTGCTAAACTTTGAAAGTGATCATAGAAATGAGAAGGAGGAGACTGAACATTCGTTTATTTCGAGAATAAAAACATGTTTTAGGTGCAATAAGACAGGACACATAGCAGCTCATTGTAGATCTAAGTTAGTGAATAAGGTTAACCAGTCATCTAGTGATAGACCTGTGAAATGTTTCAGGTGCTTAGAAATAGGACACATAGCTAGGGATTGTAAGAAGGAATTTGAGAGAAAAAGCGTGAGAGAAGACCAGCTGTTAGCTGAAACTAATGAAACTCATTTTAGCTTTTACAACTCGGCTGAGAGAGTCGACGGTAACCTAGTTATAGATTCAGGCGCAAGATGCAGTATGATAAAGGATCAGAATTTATTTGTTGAGCTTGACCAGAGTTTTAGCGAAACTGTTGAAAACGCTAACAAAACGGAGTCTAAGGTTTTAGGTAAAGGAAGAGTTGAATTTTTTGTGAAAGATTGTCAAGGAAATTCGAAAAAAAATTTCAATGACTGATTGTTCTTATGTACCAGAAAACTCAGAAAATTTAGTGTCAGTCTCAAAACTTACTAGAGGAGGAGCTAAAGTAGTTTTTGGACAACAGTCATGTATTGAGCAAGGAAATGGGACTGTTTATCCACTTAGTGAGCGAGGTAATCTTTTCATTTGGAAAATAATAGGATTTGGAAATCACAAAAAATTAAGTGTTGAAAAAATGCAAAACAATTCTTCTGAGTTCAGAGTCAGTAAGACCTATTTTCGCAGAGAAACAGAGGAGAAGAATTTTAATGAGTAAAAGGAGAACTTGATAAAAGACGATGATATAAGGAAAGAAGCTGAGCTGAAAAATGAACCTAGTAACAGGTTTTGCCTTGTTACTATTTTTTCCTTGTTAAGTGCTTGTAAAAGTGTTTCTGGAGTAGTGCAAGTTTAAGCAGATAATGGGGTTCATTTATTCTGAATTATGGTTTTTTACTGTTTTTTTTGACGATTTCAGAAAAGAAATTGATAACTAACCTAGAAAAGATAAAAAAATATATATGTTTTTGCCAACTTTTAAAAACTTCAATTTAATAGTATACAACATTCTCAAACAGAAATTTACTTCAATATAGAAATTCAGAGTTGAAACAGCAACATACAAAAACATACAGTTATCAGGTTGAGAAAATCATTTGAAGTTTTTAAGCAAAGGATTTATGGTATGAACTCTGCTTCGGATTATTGAATGTTCGTTGAAATGATACATTTTTCCATCTAAAATTCAATTTTCAAGCACAAATTTGTTCAAATTGGATTAAATTGGAAGATAGTAAATGGAGCAGAAACTGATGACATACAAATTTGAGATAGAAACTCAATTTAATTCATTCAGAGTTTCGAGATAATTTTATAAAAATGTAGCTGTTAAATTATCTCTTGAGAAAAAATCCAACATTAAAGTGTAACGTTTGGAAAAATTTTTATGATTTGATATTTTAGGTAAGTTTGTATGAAAACTCAGATTTTGTGAAGATTTTTTTGCGAAGTAAACCCAAATCCCACATCTTTTGAAAGATGATACATACAGCATAAATCAAAATTTTGCTTTCAAGATCTACACTTCGAAAATATTAATGATCTACATTGGTTAAAAAAAACTTAAAAGTAAGTTTCTCTCCAAAAAATGATGTAGAAAGATTTTTCGGAGAAAAAAATATGGAGCTTGCTGAAAATTTCTAAACAAAGTGATATTTCAGCAGAACCAGATGTAGGTTCTCTTAATTACATGAACTTTAACAAAAAATTTTAACACAGTAAAGATTTTCTGGTTAGCTTCAATTTTTTTCAATTAGAAAATTACGTAGAACTATAGTTTTTTCCTAATAATTTCGCAAAATTATTTAATTGTTACAGTTTGCAAAAAGGTTTCCTGTTCTAAACCAACTTTTTAAAGAAGCGTCCTTTCAGAAGTATTGAGATGTTGAAGAAGTTAGGAACTAGGCCCACATGCGTATTTCTACTTCCGATGGTTTTCAGATTATAACAATCAAGCTGCACTTAATTTGTTTTAGAAACTCAAAAGATACAGCTTTATATTCTCAATTTTAACA